CTATTGAAAAATAGAATAGTGAAAAATGAACTAAGAATATGGGCGTTTCCAATGCAGTTAAAATGAGAGCAAAGTCAACGCTCTATCCTTTGTGCCCTCTAAGAGTTTCTTCGAAGAAAATAGGTTAGCATCTGCAGGAATCTACGCGAAAGTAAAAGATATAGAAGGTGCCGCTGTAGAAAGAGACAAGTTTTCCTCGAAGAAAAAGGAGAAAAAGGAAATATACCAGAGCAGGAAAGGCTGAATATATTTGCTTGGTCCTCGAAAAAGAGATAAGAATATGTCCTTATCCGTCTAAAAGAAAACAAACTGTTTCTTAACTGTTCCACGAAAATATTTTTAGAATTATGAAAATTGTAAGAATTTCAAATTATAACTAGTCGTGAATGGCATCATACCAAGGCAAATTGCTAGTACTTCCCGTACCATAATCGATTTTTTTATAAAAGATTTACAATTATTTGAAAACTTTGAAAACGTTTGGTTTTTATGAATTTTGAAATATTTGAAAAAGTTGGACTTTTTAGAAGAAAATGTTTCTTTATGACTTAAACGACTTTTTTGAAGAAAATGTTTTTATTATATTTTGAAAAGTTTGAATTTTTTTATGCAATCACGCTGCATGACCGATCTAAAGACAAAGTATTTACAATTAAATAATATAAATCTTGATACGGAACCCAGAGAAATGCAAACGAAATGCTTACTTATTATTAAAATCTCTATAAAATACCTGATAATTTGATATGCATGTGTCTAATGATCATTTTTTAATTCCAAAGGGCAATTTTCTTACCTTATTTGGAGTTTATCATTTTAATTAGATTCTCCGATCTCTCAAAAACTGAATTATTATTTTTGGCACTTTTTGCCCCGTATCTTTGAAACGGCTGGACCTCGGAGACCGGTCAAGTCGTTTTTTGGTATCTGAATGAAAAAATATTTTATTTGCGTCTTTAATAAACTTATCATGGTGATAGACTTTATGGTATAAACAAACATCCTAAAATATTAAAAAAATTGGTTGAATTTTAAAAACTCATTACAGTTCAATGTAATGAAATGCGCGTTCAGCATGTGTTTGTGCACTATAATTAAAACAAATAATATTATATGTTTGTTTGAAACAGTTTGGAAGGAAAAACTATTTTGGAAATAAGCAGTTGAAAATTGTATCTATAATAGCATAAACTCAATTTTTATTGATTAAGTCGATTTACACGTATCGGAAAATCCATACGACTTGGTTTAAAGAAAAATGCTACTAAAACCTAGTTAAATGCATTATTAATTAGTTAGTAGGACTAAGTATTAATGAGTGAAATCAATATAACCTTTGTCGTTATACTACTACGACTATCACATATGATTAATGAAAATAAAGATATGAGTAAAACAAATTTACCTTACCAAAAAGTACAACAGCAACACAAGATTTGTGAGAGTTTCAAAGTACTGATAAAAACGTTATAATTGAAATGAGATATAAATGCATTTTATGATATATAGTCAGAAACTTGCTAATGATTTAGTTTATTGCGATAATCAAATTTCTACTAATGAATATTTCAATAATGGCAACTTGTATAAGCGGTTATAAGTGTTTTGAATGAACTGTTACTTAATCTTATTTTACTAATAAATAAAAAAAAAACAATATCTCACACATCTCATATCTTTTCTGCTTTTAGGTTATTTAACATCTGTATCCAAAAAGCAATCTGTAATACTGATGCTGGGCAGCTCCAAATCGCAATGCAATTTTAAATAATGCAAATTTGATGATTGTTTTCTAAATATACTTTTCTTATCATCAGGTACTTAGAATTATACCTAAATACATTGCAAAAACGGATACCAGGCTACATAAAATTAAAAGCCAATAATAAAACATTGCTAACTATCTAACCGGCAAATTACACAATGAAATTACTTCTGAAAAATATTGACTAAGTTCTAAAAAAGTCCATGTAAATAATTTTATTAATTTCACTGGTGATTATTAACTTCACCGACGAAGAAGTTTACGTTTTTGCAAAAAAAAAATCCGATTCACAAATTTTATGTTTCTCACCGTTATCTTCAGTCAATCCAAAATGTTGAAGACCACCTCACAACTAGGTTATTATTAACATTACTTGAATAAATGCATTATTAACTTTCCCTAGGGTGAGTTATTGTAAGAGTCGATGAAAATATTTCTAAACGTTTTGGCATATCTATGGTTACAATTTTTCGTCCACGTTTTCGGATGCTCGAATCACCCGATTTGAATGGTTAAAAAAACATTCGATTCCTAATGATGAGGAGATGAACTGACTAGTTTTTGGCAAAAGTCGGGCCAGCCGTTTTGAAGTTACGGAGCAAAAAATAAAAATCTTTTTTTTCGAGAACTGACTGAGAATACAAAGCTAAATGTGCATAAAATTGTAATTTTTAAGAGAACGAAACATCTGATTTGAATGATTAAAAAAACGCTTACAGTGTAAAAAACAGTTAGTTTTTAGGAAATGCAAAAAAGTCTATCTATTTTTTTTTTTAATTTTATAATTTCTAAAAAATTATTATTTTGAATATCGAAAATGATTCGGATTTTAATTTCAATTCGAGATAAAATTCCAAGGCTCACTTATATACTTAAAGTAAATAATTTTAACTGTTTATATAGTTTATATAGTCATATATAGTTCTTAAGAATATGATATAAGATCCTTCATTCTAACATCGCTCCATTAAGTTTGTTTCCATTATGTTTATTTAGTATTTATATAAACATATATAAACGTCGTCGTCCAATTTATAAGCTCTTATATTTTGTCTATAAAATATGAGTAGTGAAAGTTGTAATATTTATAATAACCTATTTGCAAACATTTTGTATTCCTTTTATATTTCCTTGTCGTACGGGAAGTTCCAGCAATTTGTCTTAAGGCACGATGCCATGCAACACTATTTGTTTTGATCTAGTTAGTTTGGTTTTCACAGCTAATTGCTAAAAGAGAAATTAGAATTTATAAGCTCTTATATTTTGTCTATAAAATACGAGTAGTGAAAGTTGTAATATTCATAATAACCTATTTGAAAACATTTTGTATTCCTCTTATATTTCCTTATGGTACGGGAAGTTCCAGCAATTTGTCTTAAGGAACGATGCCATGCAACACTATTTGTTTTTATGTAGTTGGTTTGGTTTTCACAGCTAATTGCTAAAAGTCGAATTAGAACTTTCTGCCCCGCCTTACCCTATTTGATTTCGTACAATTCTAAATGAAATACGTAATAAATATTGAATATTGAATTTTTTTGAACATTTTTGAAAATTTTGAAAACATTTAAAAAAATTGAATATCGAGAAAATTAAAAAAAATGTGAAATTACTGAAATTTCTTAGAAATTATTTGAAAACTGAAATTTTGTGATTTTGTCGGTTGATCCAGATTATCGAAAATATCTGATTTTCGACGGCCGAATGGCATCTTTAATTTTATCTGAGCACTCTTTGCTCTGTATCTCCAAAATGACTGGACTTGTCTTTGCCAAAAACTAATCAAATTGTCTCCTTATCAATAGGAGTCGAATGTTTTGAATGATACAAATCGGTTGATCCGTGCGCCCAAAATCGTGGACGGAAAATTGTCTAAGGTATGCGAAAAGGTTCAAAAACCTCTGAAACGTGAAGATTTTCATTTTTGATTTTTGGGCAAATACTATAACTTGCATTACAAAAAGTTAAAAATAATTTGCCAAATAATATTTCGAAACGTTGATTCCTTTACATTGAAGAAACGTAGCGCGTGTCGAATCGTCGCGTTCGCGGAACGCTCTCGGCATGTTTAGAAGTAATGGTTTATGGGGGCGCAATATTAGGAACGGATATTTTCTTACGTGGGTTATAATTTTATGTCCTTTTCTCACATTTTCTTAACATTTTCTTAGTGACGCGCTTGCGTATGTTGTGTCGTATTTTTAAAAATATGTCCCGCGGGTTACCAGGGCGGTTTTGTTGGCGGTACCGCCCTATAAGGCGGTTTTGTGGGCGTTTTTTTAGGTTTTTAGGGTTTTAGGTTCACCACAGTCATGGGATATCTTAAAAACGCCGCGAATATCGTTGTGCGTGGAAGGAAATTCAAATCCCTGGGTCAGTTCTTTGTCGAAAAAAAATATTTGAGAAGTGTTAATACGAAAAAAAAATTGCTTATGCAGGTCGAATTAATTGAAGTGTAGTGAAATCAATATTTTATTTCATATACTATATAAAATTGTTAACCAACAAAAAGTGTTCTGTGACTATGATAAAAATAATTGATAAGTGTGAAAAACATGTAATACAGTATCTGACCTACTGAACTATTATTAATTGAAGTTGACAGTGATACAAAAAGTAATCTTGCACATATATATTTTTATAACCAAAACTTTTGAAAAATTAAATTTGATCAACCGTTTGATACAATATACAATTTTATAAATCCCGTTAAAATTAAATATTAACATTTTTAATAACCATTGCCATTTTATTAATATTTATGTAGGTGATTTATTTTTTAATTCTTTCTGGTGACTTCATATTATACAAATCAAAATAGATCAAACACTTCCGCGAAAATTATAATGGAATTTCTTGATGTGATATTCGCAAGCATTTTGTTTAACTGAAATATATTTGAAATACAAATTTAGATCATCTGATTATTACTTACTTAGCTATTAGTTCAATTCAAAATGACATTGTTGATTAAACTATTAAATTTGTTTGATATGTGATAGACGCAAAATCTCTCTTTTAAAACTTTGTAAAAGCAAATACATGCTAAATTACCATTTTTAGGAAATTTTGGTTTTAGCTAGTTGAAGATCCGATAGCCAAACAGAAATGAATAAATATTAAAAATTAAACATTTTTATCTACAACGAATATAAATCAATAAAAAACAAAAAAAATAATTTTTATATTAAAAAAACTATTTTGGTGATGATCAATTGTAAATTACAGCAATAAAATGCACTTACCCAACGGTGAAGTAACTTCGACAACACCAAACCCTAACCCCTCTAGTGAAAGCAAAGAAGTCATAAACGATCCAAAAACTAGGCCAAAACATTTTAACAAATATAATCAAGAATCAAGCTTTATGGGGCTAAATAACATAGATGAATCATCAGGAAAGCCATTCGGCGGTCAAAACAATCCGTCAGAAAATAACTACGAACAAACAGCTAGAGAATCAAACGTAGTCGATTCGGCCGCCTACATTCATAACAACCGAAAAGCAAGTCCACTCATGGCATATAACAAGGGCGCGAGATTCTTGGACGATCAGAGTAGCAAAGATATCAAAAATACAAGGGGAGCTGCGTCGCTGCTGGGGAGGGTGTCCAACTCCCGTGGAGTAAGCCCTCTGGGGATGAATAACGGGGATAACGTAAGACCAGCGGCAGGGGAGAACAACCTTGACGAAGGAGGTGTGTGCCTGACAGCTGAATCTCTGACTGACAGCACTCTTAACGGTTTACTGGCGGAGCATCCAGGGGAATTAGTCAAGACTGGATGTCCACATGTTGTAAGTACATGATGAAATTTTTGTTAATCGAATCATGTTTTTTTTTACATTGTTTAATTTATGGCAACTTAATAAAAGCTTCAAAAGCATTATAAAAAATAACTATCATTAATCAGGTGCTTTAATAGTTATCCCTGCTCTTTGTAATTTCGCTAACGTAAAAAATCAAAAATAATTGATGAAAAGAATTCATTTTCATAATATGCAGTATTAATGCTAATACTAACAATCAAATATCCAAAAATCTTTTATTTCATAAATCTAATTTAACCAATAATAATTCGCGTTCATTTTAAAATAAAATAATTCAAATTCTGTAAGCCAATCAAATAACCAAAAATGATAAAGGGCTCAACATATTTTTTCATTATTCTAATCGGTTGCATTTTTTGCTCTGACCGGACCTGCCTTTCCCAAAAACTAATCAGCTCGTCCCCAACAATAAAAATCGAATGTTTGTTGAATCATTCAAATTGGTTGATAAGTGCTCTCAAAATAGTCGACTTGGGTTTGATAAGAATAGCATAGAAAATCTCCGAGAAAAACATAACACTATAAAATAATTTAAAAAATTATGAATATCGTCAATCTTTTTTTAGTGAAGAAAAGGGATTCATTATAAATTAAATTACTTTGAAATTCCACTTTGTACTAATTAGGTCGATCGCGCGCCGAGGGATCGTTTTATATTAAGCTATAATTTCATTTCACTTTCCCTTGCTCATATACTATAAAAGATCAATTAAGGGTTCCGTACAATAATTAGAACTCAATTGATATTCACAATAATAATTAATATATAAAATTATAATTCATCTAGCAAGTCCTTCACCCAAGCAAAATATTGATCAAAAGCAGTCGATTTATTTATTTAAAAAAAAATGGTTATAAAAAATAATTACAAATTATATAGAATTGACATAGAAGAACGAGCCAGAACTTGATTAAACGTTTACAACAACACAAAAATAATTTTAAAAATCCCAGACAGTTTAAAACTATGCTTGCGGACCACATTAATACTTTAAAATACAATATAGACTTTTTAACCCGAATGTACCACAATTCGAACAAAATTTATCCAAATGAAGAATTATAAAAGGATCTTTTTGAATTTTTATAACAATAGAATAATAAATAAACGCAATGAACTCAACACTTTGAAATTGACTATTGTTCAAAATCTTTGTATTAACTTTTATCGGCAACCCTTTAATTTACCATTGCATCACTTCTGAAATTTCTTTTATATTTGACACGAATTTTTAACATAGAGATATATAATACTTTTCTTTGATACTGTTCGCATTACTACATCAGGTCATAACTGATATGATAAACTGATCACCTGTCTGATCAATGTTGAACCACGCTCACCATTAAGTAGAATCAATTATGTATTTTAACTGATCTCGAAACGTCTAAATAATATTATTCAAATGGTTATTTAACAAGAACATATAATGCATATTATAATAGATAAATTCACTGAGAAAAACCTGCCTAACAGACTAATATAAGATGCGAAATCAGAATTATTTCATTCTGAGGCGCTGATATAAACAGTAAGCATATCAAAATGTTTCATGCAAAATTCGTTTTTTCTCCATATTTGTGCTATTTTCATTTTGACGGCTTAGAATTTAATATACAATCATACTTTTTAGTATATTTTAACTTATGTAAAGTAAGAATGAAAATTTTTAAATCCCATGAAACAAATATAAATTAACGCAATTTTTTTTTATATTCACTAGCAGTAGTAAATATGTATATTAAATTAAGCAAAAAGACGGCAATGTAGATATGCAACTGGTTTTCTATATTTTTTTCTATATTTGATCTCATTCGATTCAGAATGACTTGAAACGTCCAGAAAACAAAGTTAGCAAATCGGATTTTGTCGATTTTGTTGATTAATTAATGAACATGGCTAAGTTTATTTTATTCTTATTCACGCCTTTTGGTTTCAAAATTCAATGAATTATAATCGATGAAAATGATTTTATAAATTTTTAAATTTTAAAGATGTGTATTCAGTCATTGTCAGCAAGCAACGTCGCTATCATGTCCCGAGTTTTAAACGGCCATCTATGTTTAAAAATCTAAAACAAAGTATTTTCTGTCGTAGTTAGTTATTTTGGTTGTGAGCACTGTTGTTTAATTTGCGATATCTTAATATAATTTTAATGTATACTCGATTGTTTTATAATATATTTTGTTAATTTTAGGTTAGATTCAACAGATGTTTTTATATTACCGTTTTAATATAGCTTACTAAACCTTTACCCTGGCAAAGATGTAAACAATAATAAATAGTAAATAAAATGTAAATTCAGTTGAAAAAGCAATTTTACAAGAAATAAATTAAATTAATAGTTATTCCAACTTTGCTGGTCAATATGCTAACTATATACCAGACCAAGTTTATATACAGTGTTATTTTTGTAAAAAAAATGTGCCCATGAAATTTATATTTTGCAGTGGTTGAATATTGTAGGTATTACTTCGTAAAATTCCTTTAATATTAAGAATTGGATATTGGGTATGTATGCCCCCTGGCTGCCCTATTTCACCAACTTTGCTGGTCAATTTTATTGACAATATACCAGATCAAGGTTATATATTATCTTTGTAAAAAATGTTTAAATAAAATTTATATTTTGCAGTGGTTGAATGTTGTAGGTATTACTTCGTAAAATCCCTTTAAAATTAGAAATAGGACATTGGATATGTTTGCCCCCTGACTGTCCCATTTCACCCCGCCTATAGGTTAATTAGGGACAGATTTCAAATTTTAGAAAAATAGTATAAAAGACATTTCTATAATTAACTAGCTGTAAGTGGAATTCTTTCTTGAGGCAATAATGGCATCGTGCCTTAAGGCAAATTGCTGGAACTTCCCGTACCGTAACGAAATGTTCGAGAAATACTGAATGTTTTCAAATAGATTATTATAAATATTGTAACATTGTCTAATATTTATAAGAATTATATAAACTGAATTGCAGAGTTGAAATTATTTGTAAAGTATATTAGAACTATAGTCAGAATTAAAAATAAAATCTGAAATATTTTCGATATACAAAAAACTGAAAAAAAAAATAAAATAAAAATAAAGAAAAAAAATTGGACAAATTTTTTTTTTCCGAAATCAATTATTTTGTTAAGACAAGCAGAAAGTTCTTTGAATCATTTAAATCGGACGCTTAGTTCTCTCAAAAACTGCCATTTTTCACATATTTAGCTCTGTATCTTCGAAATGGCTGCGCCTGCCTTTGCCAAAAACTAATAAGCACTTCTCCCAATCATTACTAATTGAATGTTTTTTAGATCATTCAAATCGGATACTCCGTTCTCTCAAAAATTCGATTTCTATTTTCTGCACTCTTTGCTTCGTATCTCCGAAACGGCTGGACCTGCCTTTGCCAAAAACTAATCAGCTCTTTTCCCTATCAATAGGAATCGAATGTTTTTTGAACCATTCAAATCGGTTGATCCGTGCGCCCTAAAACGTGACTGGAAATTTGTATCCATACATACATACACACACACACACATACACACACACACACACACACACATCCATTTTTTCTGAGGTATGCCAAAACGTTCAGAAACCTTCAAAACGTCGAGAAATGTTAAAATTTTCAATTCCGATTTTCGGCCCATTACAATAACTTACCCTACGGGAAGTTAAAAATTAACTGAGAATTTTACTGAACATGGTCAGATAGATGTTTGCTTGATAGGTGTTACGTGTTTTGATGTAATTTATTTTATTAGTAATGGGCCAAAAATCGAAAATAAATTGTTTGCGTATTTTCACGTTTCAGAAGTTTCTGAACATTTTGGCATAGATAGGATGGATGTGTGTATGTTTTGTGTGTCCGGAGATATGGAGCAAAGAATGCAGAAAATAGAAATCAAGTTTTTGAGAGATCGGAGCATCGGATTTGAATGATTAAAAAAACATTCAATTTGTAATGACAGGGAGAAGTGGTGATTAGTTTTTGACAAAGGCAGGTCCAGCGGTTCCGAAGATACAGAGCTAAATGTGCAAAAAATGGCAGTTTTTGAGAGAACTAAGCATCCGATTTGAAAGATTCAAAAAACTTTCTGCTTGTGTTGACAAAACAATTGCTTTTGAAAAAAATAAAAAAAAATTACAAAAAATATTTTTTGTATATTGAAAATTATTCAGATTTTAATTTTAATTCTGGCTAAAGTTCTAAAGCACACTTATATACTTCAAATAAATAATTTTAACTTTGTAATTCAGTTTATAAAATTCTTATGAATATTAGACAATGTTATAGTATTTATAATAATCTGTTTGAAAACAATTAATATTCCTCGATCATTTCGTTACGGTATGGGAAATTACAGAAATTTGCCTTAAGGCAGGATGCCATACACCACTAGTTATTAACTTCCCGTAGGGTAAGTTATTGTAATGGGCCGAAAATCGAAATTGAAAATTTTTACATTTCTCGACGTTTTGAAGGTTTCTGAACATTTTGGCATACCTCAGAAAAAATGGATGTGTGTGTGTGTATGTATGTATGGATACAATTTTCCAGTCACGTTTTCGGGCGCACGGATCAATCGATTTGAATGGTTCAAAAAACATTTGATTTCTATGGATAGGGAGATGTGCTGATTAGTTTTTGGCAAAGGCAGGTCCAGCAGTTGCGCAGATAAAGAGTGCAGAAAATAGAAATCGAGTTTTTGAGAGAACGGAGCATCCGATTTGAATGATCTAAAAAAAACATTCAATTAGTAATGATTGGGAGAAGTGTTTATTAGTTTTTGGCAACGGCAGGCCCAGCCATTTCAAAGATACGGAGCTAAATGTGCAAAAAATTGCAGTTTTTGAGAGAACTAAGCGTCCGATTTAAATGATTCAAAGAACTTTCTGCTTGTCTTAACAAAATAATTGATTTTAGAAAAAAAAATGTTTCAACTTTTTTTTTCATTTTTTTTTTCAAAAAAACTTTTTTTTGTATATCGAAAATAATTCAGATTTTATTTTTAATTCTGACTATAGTTCTAATATACTTTAAACAAATAATTTCAACTTTGCAATTCAGTTTATATAATTCTTATAAATATTAGACAATGTTACAATATTAATATTAATCTATTTGAAAACATTTAAAATCCTCGAAGATTTCGTTACGGTACGGGAAGTTCCAGCAATTTGCCTTAAGGCAAGATGCCATACACCACTAGTTATATTTAATATTGGCTTCTGGCACACGTACATTCACAAATATACATAGTCGTCAGCTATTCCGTAATATTTGTGACTTCTTTTATTTCAGTTTGTTCGTCATGTACTGAATTAAACATAATTAAATTGATTTTTATAAAGTAATTAAATCAAGTATCAATTTGACTGGTTATGTTTTGTTGCAGGTGTGCACCGTTTTGCCGTCGCACTGGCGATCGAACAAGACATTGCCAACGTCCTTTCGGGTCGTTTCCCTAGGAGACGTGGGAGACGGCACGTTGGTGACACTAAGAGCCGGAAATGACGAAAACTTTTGTGCCGAGCTAAGAAACTGTACTGCCGTCATGAAAAACCAAGTAGCCAAATTCAATGATCTCAGATTCGTGGGACGCAGTGGTAGAGGTCAGTAAAAGCCCCATTGAAATTAAACGAAAACGTGAAACCTATGGCATTCGTAGATTTATAAAGCTTTGATGCATCCTGCTCAAACTTATTTAATGTTTAAATTTTAATTTTTAATATAGGGTAGAACGGGACTTAAAGGTGCGCGGAACAAAAGATCCGACATCACTCTCTTAAAACTAAGCAGAGTAACGAATTTTTAACTTCCCGTAGGACAAGTTATAGTAATCGAATAAAAATCGAAAGTTAAATTTTTTATATATCTTTACGTTTCAAAACCTTCTGAACATTTTGGCATACCTTAGAAAAAATGAATGTATGTGTGTGTGTGCGTGTATGTGTGTGTGCGGATACAAATTTTCGTCGACGATTTTGGAAACACCGATTAACCTATTTGAATAATTAAAAAAACATTCGATTCGTATTGATAAGGAGACGTGCTGATTAGTTTTTGGTGAAGGCAGGTCTAGCCGTTCCAAAGATACGGGGCAAAGAGTGACAAAAACGGTAACTCAAATAATTCAAAAAAACATTTTACTTGTATCAACAAGATGACGAATTGATCAAATTTTCATGAAGGCAGGTCTAGCGGTTTCGGAGATCTAGTAAAAAAAAGTAAAAAAAATGCCATTTGGCGGTGAAAAATGATCATTAGACATATGCACATCAAATTATCAGATAATTTATAGAGATTTTAACAATGAGTATAAATTTTGTTTTCATTCCTATGGGTTCCGTGCCAATATTCATCCGTTAGACGGCGACGCGGCGCTTACGCGCTTTGACAGTTCGTCTCTATGCAGTTAAAGCAGTACGATTACTTTGAAAAAAAGTTCAAAATTTCGAAAATATGTCAGAATAAAGAAAACATATTTTTTCAAAATATTTTTTTTTTTTTCAAAAAAAGTAACTTTTTGTCACATTTATAGTTTCTCAAATCTATAGTTTCTCAAAGTAATTTTTTCAAAGTAAAATTTTTTCAAAAATGTTAGTCTTTTTAAAAAAATAATAATTTTTGGTACGGGAAGTTCCAGCAATTTGCCTTAAAACACGATGCCATGCGCCCCACTAGTTTAATGATACTATTCGGAAGTAGAAAGAAAAATATGTGTAACCAGTCATCACCTTAATTCTTACAATGTCGCTATCAGGAGATAAACAAAAATGTATCATTACTCATACCAAAAGCTTTCTTTTCGCTGGTAGTTTATCTAGTTTTGAGCCCTTGTATTAGGTTATGATACCTGATTATAACTTATTCAGTTTTTGTAAGATGTATTGTCATTTTTAAGCTAGATTCAACAGCTTGTTTATGTGTGCGTATGTGTGCAAAAAAAAAATTGCGCCCACGATTTCGGGCGCACGGATCAACCGAGCCTATTTGAATGATTAAAAAATCATTCAATTTCTATTATTAGAAAGACGTGGTGATTAGTTTTTGACAAAGAGAGGACCAGCCGCTTCGGAGATACAGAGCAAGAAGTGCAGAACATGAAAATTTAGTTTTTGCGAGAACGTAGCATCCGATCAGAATGATTCAAAAAATATTCGGTTTGTATTGACAAGGAGACATGCTGATTAATTTTTTCCAAATGCAGGTTCAGCCGTTTTATAGATAAGAAGCAAAAAGTATAAAGAATATCAGACTGTGAAAGAAAAGAGCATGCGATAAAAGTAATTAAAAAAACATTCGATTCGTGTTGACGAGGAGAAGTGCTAATTACTTTTTTTGCAAAAGCAGTTCCAGCCGTTTCAGAGATACGGAGCAAAAAGTGAAAATAAAGAAGTTATTGAGTGAACTCATCATCTGATTAGAATAATTCAAAAAAACATTTTGCTCGTGTTTAGTGTGAATAAATTATAATTTTTGGAGGAGGCATTTTTTATTTCAAAATTTACAAAAAAAAATATTTAAGAATTTGAAAAAAAATTTAATTACCATTTTTTTAAATATCGAAATTGATTCGGATTTTAATTTTAATTCAGGCTAAAATATTTAAATTTGTTTGACTATTTCATTACCGGAAGATCCAGCAATTTGCCTTAAGATTAAGGTGACCATACGCCCCGGTTTTTCCGGGACAGTCCCAGATTTGCACCTTGTATCCCGAGTTTTTCTAAAAGGAATATTTGTCCCGGATTTATTCTTTAGTCCCGGATTGTACTGGTTTTTCGAAAAATTTAAGGTGAATTACCACAAAATTATGAAAAAGTGGAATAGAATTTTATACAAAGCTCAAAAGCAAAACATAGAAGATCGAAAAATATGAGATATAATATAATACTACGATATTATCAAAAAGTATTACATATAATCGAAAAATAAAATTCTTACTAAAAGTTCGCAATAATGATTAAAAAACAAAAACAGTTCTTTTTATTTGTTATTTGGCATTTGTTATTTTAAAGACCTCTATCCTTCCTTCGCCGCCGTCCCGGATTTTCATAACTAAAAATTGCCTTCCCGGTTTTGACTTAAAAAAATTTGGTCACCTTACTTGAGACACGATGCCATAAACCGCTAGTTTTTTCATCACAATTGTTTTTTCACCCAAAAACCATTTAATAGTAAAAAAAATTATTAAGAAATAAAACGCAATCGATTAAGAAATTAACGAGTTAAATGTTAAACATGTCAGTAACAAGATGCGATACTGTTTGATGTTGGTGTGATATATATTCTGCTGGTACAAAAATAAAAAGGAATACTGAAGCGCATCACACAAACGATTTACATTATATGTCTGAAATTGAACTGACAATGCTGTCTCGACGTGTGATTTTGATGTCTCTGTCAACCGCATCGCCAAATAGCAGCAATTTCGAAGATCCACGATAAAATAATATTTAAGTCTTATGCATAAAGAACAATATCCAGTTTAATAGTACACTATTATGAAAATATAAAATGATTAAGATGCTGAAACGATGCCAATTACTGGCTAAAAATAATTTACACCGTAATGCATCAAAACATAATTTAAGAATAATAAACATCAAGAAACGATATATAACTATTTTCTCTATATTTTCTCTTCTCGCGTAAGTCATCAAAGTTCTATAGAGTAGGGCGAGGCACAATGGTCCCATTTGACTTCGAGCAATTATATTGTTATAGCCAAACCAATTACATTACAACAAATGACAAATATCAAACAAACAACTATCTGACTATGTTCAGTAAAACTCCCACCTAACTCGTTATTGTGTAAATATGTTTCTTTTGCTGTTCCAAAATTTGTAACCTGGCTTTTTACCCCATAGACGAGGCAAAAATGGGACGGCCAGGGAGCCGAACAGATTATACTTAAATTTAAAGGGTTTGACAAAATAATAGCTACATTATTCATAACCAATTCAAAATAATAATTTCTTTTATAGAAATATCGTGCCTTAAGACAAATTGCTGGTACTTACCGTATCAAAAATTAAAATTTAAAAAAAAGATTCATTTGTTTTTTAAACTTTGAAATAAAGAGATTTTTGAGAATTTTGAAATTTTTGTAAAAATTTCACTTCTTTGAAAATTTTTATTTTTTTGTTATATTTTGAAATGTTTTGGAAATTCTGAACTCTTTTTCGGAAATTAAAGTAGAGACGAAGTATTGATGCGCTTAAGCGCCACGTCGCTGTTTAACAAATAAACATTAGTACCGAACTGATAATAATGTAAACAAAATTTGTTCTTATTATTAGAATTTCTATAAAATATCTGATATTTGATATGTCGAATGATTTTCGACCGCCAAATGTCTTTTTTAACTTCCCGTAGGGTAAGTTATTGTAATGGGCCGAAAATCGAAATTGAAAATTTTTACATTTCTCGACGTTTTGAAGGTTTCTGAACATTTTGGCATACCTCAGAGAAAATGGATGTGTGTGTGTATGTATGTATTTCCAGTCAGGTTTTCGGGCGCACGGATCAACCGATTTGAATGGTTAAAAAAAAAACATTCGATTCCTATTGATAGGGCGATGTGCTGATTAGTTTTTGGCAAAGACAGGTCCAGCAGTTACGGGGATAAAGAGCAAAGAGTGCAGAAAATAAAAATCGAGTTTTTGAGAGAACGGAGCATCCGATTTGAATGATCTAAAAACATTCAATTAGTAATGACTGGGAGAAGTGTTTATTAGTTTTTGGCAAAGGCAGGCCCAGCCATTTCGAAGATACGGAGCTAAATGTGTAAAAAATTGCAGTTTTTGAGAGAACTAAGCGTTGGATTTAAATGATTCGAAGAACCTTCTGGTTGTCTTAACAAAATAAATGTTTTTGTTTCAACTTTTTTTCCAATTTTTTTTTTCAAAAAAAATTTTTTTTTGTATATCGAAAATAATTAAAATTTTATTTTTAATTCTGACCATAGCTCTAATATACTTCAAACAAATAATTTCAACTTTGCCATTCAGTTTATATAATTCTTATAAATATTAGACAATGTTACAATATTAATAATAATCTATTTGAAAACATTCAGTATTCCTCGAACATTTCGTTGCGGTACGGGAAGTTCCAGCAATTTGCCTTAAGGCACGATATGCCACACATCCCACAAGTTTTTACTTTGTTATTGGATCTACGAAACCCTCAAAAACTTAAATTTCAAATTCGTTTCAAATCAGTTTTTATTTATCCCTGTTATCCCAAAAACTAATTTAATATTTTTGGCAATTTTTGCCCCGTATCTTCAAAACGGCTGGACATGCCTTTGCTAAAAAGTAATTAGCTCATCTCTCTGTTAATACAAATCGAATGTTTTTTGAATTATTGAATTCGGTTGATCCGTGTTTACGAAATCGTTGACAAAAATTTGTATCCGAACATACACACACATACATCCATTTTTTCTAAAGTATGCCAAAATGTGCAGAAGACTATAAAACGTAAATTATATATATTGAAAAATTTTCATTTTCGTTTTTTTGCGATTACTATAACTTGCCCTACGGAAAGTTAAATGACAATACATCTTATCAAACAATTAAATAATGTATACTAAAAA